CCTTAACCCTGAGCAATCGCATGTAGACTTGCCTGTAGCGCAGCAGGGAGCGGATATTAGCATTTCAGCAGATGAAATCATAAAATTGCTGAAAAGCTTGCAAGGTAGAGATGCTGATGGAATTGTTGAAATCCATCCTGAAATGCTCAAAGCAATAGGCGAACAATGTTGTGTGCTGGCTTATACGCCTGTCTCGAACTGCCATGGTTGCGGTGAAGACACCAGCCGATTGGAGAACAGCGGTTGTAGTAGTCCTGTTCAATAAGAAAGACAACTGGGAGTGCTCCAGTTATTGGGACGTGACCTTATTGAGTATCCCGGATGAGGCCTACGCAAAGGTGCTAAAACAGAAGTGCTATAGAATAACTGACTTAGACGTAGGAGGAGAAGAGTGTGGCTTCCGGTCTGGCTGAAGCACACATGATCAGATATTTGCCTCACACCAGAAAGAGGGATATCGAATACTGTTTTTGAATCAGTGATGAAAACTTCTGAAAACTGTATGTGCTACTTGATTAGCTGCATAGAAGTTACCTATCTTTGGTCAACCATTGGGACAACTGTCTTAGTACAAGCCCCTATTCCATTTTCTTCTTCCGTGTAATCTCCCTTAACGAGAGTTTATTACTCTGACTCTGCGAAAAGTGCGCTGCTTCATTCTGATCTTTATATACCACACGATTGCAAAAATATCAACAGGGCCGATTTCAAGAGGATCACAGTGATAAGTAAATATCAAGTCAGATTATAGTTCTTTTCCATGAACCTTACTTTCCGTAAAATTTTTCTGGAGATTACCAACTCCGCATGCATAGATGCAAAGCATCAACCCATCTTTGATGTTTTGTTCCCAGCTTCACAATGTAAATCTTCTGAAGTAAGTACAGAATGACTTATTTGTTGTTCAGACCAGCTGACTTGAAAGATGAGTCCCACATATTGGCAGCAGTCTGCGCAGCATTTCAGTAATCCAGTGCTGCTTGCTTCGAGAAATGTATTATCTCGCAACAGTTCAGATCCAGATCCTTCTTAATTAAGCTGATACGTAAAATGAAGAGGACACTGTAACGTAGTCAAACAAACAATATTATAAACCGGTTGAGAAAATGCAGTTAATCTATTTGCACGAAATCTCTCCAAACAAATTTTGGTAGAAAATCTCAGCTATTAAGTACCGATAAAGAAAATTTATAAATTTTAGTTCGTGCGATGCCTACCTCCTAGCAACTATTCTCTAGTCCATGTTGCAGGGAACGGACAACGATCAAAGTAAGGAATATCTCGCAGTGTGCATCATGGTAGGGCTTTTCACCATTACCTGATCCGGCGGCCGTGAAGACCTATAGTGAGGTCCAAAACGGTTAGCCAATAAGGTTCTTGTCGATCATCATAAAATTATGACTTGTGATCATAATCACCCAGTAGTCAGGAAGCAGGTGCCGCTGTTCAGCCAATCACAAATAAGCTCTCCCCTGCAGAAGTCAACGGAGGCCCATGATTCATAAGCAAGCACCTACTCACATTAGAATGATGTGACTCCTCAATCGAGTTCTGCGCCTTCCTTGCTCCAAGTAGACAGAATATAAACTGGCGACCAGCCAGAGCCATGAACTCAAGCTACTGTAACATGTTTTTGGCCACGGCTTGCCAGCACCTTGAGAAATGCTTCTGAATCCCCAATCCTTCGACGACGCGCATATGATGGTGCCCTGCATTACCTTTCCCTTATAAGAGGGGAGAAAGTGAATAAGAAAGCGACGTTAGGTAATATCAAAGGTAAGAAAGCCTTTGAAAAAATAGAATTTTGGTGATGATTGCAGACTTCAGGTCAGCTGAGCGAAATATCTCAAATATCTAAGTCCTGTAGCAGCATCAGATGGAGTTCATGAAATGGGCCACGAGTAATTACCACTACGTGGCAGTGATCCGCTTTTAGCAGACTGTCAAGTAAAAGTGTGCACACCTCAAATTTTGAAAAAGGTGAAGGTTACCAAAACTTATTTGCGATCATGGACAAATAAGATGCACCGTTTTGCCCTTTAATAGACTCTGCATTTTCTTGAGAGGACAATCGCTCTGAGCGCTAATATTTTGACCTACAGAATATATTCATCGAGTGGCTGCGCATTTGATTACAAATGTCAGCATTGACAGGTTGCAGTTTACAGTAAAGTCCCGCAAACGCAGGGAATAAGAATCGTTTGAAAGGGCGATCATCAAAAGCAACCTGGGATTGCATCACTGCTGCTTCTTAAGAGGTCAAGTAACAATTGGAGAAACTGCC